GCACCGCCACGCCCTTGTTCTTGCTCACGAGCACGAAGCCCGTGGGATCGCCTTCGCGCAGGCAGAAAGCCAGCGCACCGTTCCACTCTTCCAGCGGCATGACAGAAGTGCCGCTGGGGAACTCAACCACGAGCCAGTAGGGATTGAAGTTCGATGCGTCCTTCTCGTCGCGGTAGAGGCAATCTCGGAAGCGTTTGACGGCCTCCTGCGGGCAGTCCGGGCCGTAGTGCTCAAAGTCTTGCTTCGCCACCACGTGGTCCCTATACTCCTTAAGCGGCTCGCCCAGCTTTCCGTTCACAACGGGCTCCGGCTCGGCTGATGCCTCCTCCGCCGCGGACTCTGACTCGCTGGACTCGGCGACCGCCGCCGCCGTGGGCTCTGCAACCTTCGCCGCCGCGGGCTCTGGCTCGCTGCACTCTGCAACCTTCGCCGTCGTGGGTTTTGCAACCTTCGCCGCCGTGGGCTCTGGCTCGCTGCGCTCTGCAAACCTTCGCCGTGGGCTCTGCAACCTCGCTGGACTCGGCAACGTTCGCCGCGGGCTCTGGCTCGCTGGACTCTGCAACCTTCGCCGCGGGCTCTGCAACCTTCGCCGCCGTGGGCTCTGCAACCTTCGCCGCCGTGGGCTTTGCAGCCTTGGTTTTATTCATAACCTTCAAATGCGTCATGAACTGATCCAAACTTGCAATAGACGATGCGGCCTTCGGCTTCAGGATGCCCTTGCGGACTGCGGGCACTGCAGGAGCAGAGGAGCCCCTTCCGAAAGCTCCCACTTCAAGGACGAAGCCGGTTGCGGCCGGCTGCGGTTTCGAGGCCGGCTGTGACAGCTCCGGCTCTCTGGACTGCTTCAGCTCGGGCTGTATCGCTCGATCCAGAAGAGTCTCCAGATCACTCATCGGCCCCTGGCGAAACGACTCCGGATCGCTGTTGCTCAGGTGGAGCTCGAAGCTTTGCAGCTCCTGGACGGCTTGGGTGGCTTGCGGGTCACTGCACCTGTCCGGGTGCACCAAGCGCATCATCTGCCTGTAGCAGCTCTGTGCCGAGCCTGGAAAGATCCTGAAGCCACACTTTTGGCCTAGTCGGTGCTCAGGGCTCAGCACGAGCTTCACCGCCAGCGCCNNCGAGAAGCTCATGACGACCCGTCGCCCAGCTACGGCTAGGGATGCTTGCAAGCAAAATGCTGCGAGACGCCGACAACATGCCAATCACCGCTTCAAAGAGGCAACGGACACAGCAGGACCGGGGCTTAGGCGATCGGATGCCCGAAGATGCCGCGGCTAGCCGAGTCGAAGGGACCTGGGCAGCGCGAGGGCCCGGGGCTCCCGGGCGGGGTTCGGGACCGCAGGGCACTCTAGCTTGACGGGGATGTTGGGGTGGCAGCGGCAAGGCACTCATGCGCTCACGCTCAAGCCAACAAAACCCCATACCCTCCAAGTCCGAAGTACAAAACCCTCTGAGGAGCAGGGCGTCAACGAAGAGGTCCGGGCCTGGGCGAATAGACTGTCAGTTTTGTCAGTTCCGTTAGGCGGGCCCTGGGGGGGTTTTTCCATGCTATTTGTAGGCTAAAACAACCCACTTGACAGACCTGACAAAACTGACAGAACTGACAGGCCTTAGGGTGGTCCCGGGGGGGCGCGCTACCAGAACAAGACGCAAAACCAAGCCAGCTCCC